CTAGCACCTGATATTTTCAGTCAGCCCAACCAATTGTTAAACTGATGAAAATTTGGAAAACACTTTAATGACAAAAATGGCTTCGTAGTGCCAAAGTCTGTCTTGAGAACTTCTGCAAAAAATAATGAATTCTTACTTCCCTCAGTCTGACCTGGGGTGGCAATGGCTGAGCAACATTGTAACACCACTTTACTTGGAGAAGACTCTTGGCCTTAGCTTTCTCTGTACCCTTAAATGGAAATCTGCAGCTAAATTATTTATTTATTTAAGTGGTGGGTGACCAAATAAACGTCAGTTCCTCATGATAATGTATAGAATTGGGAATTATGAGACAGCCATATGCTTTTGTGAAATGCTGTCACCAAGACAAATGACATTGTTTCCCATTGGGTAATTAATTCCAGAGTAGTATTATGCATATTTCTTATCCTTATGATATGAAATAGTTATTATATGCATAAGTCTCTTAAAAGTCTCTTCATAGGCATAATAAACAATTGCTTCCCCTGAAGTTGTGGACACCAGAGAAGCTGCAACAAGCCTCTGACCTTCAGAATGTTTTGGAGCTTCTCTGTTCCCATGTGATGAGAAAGAGCATAAAGTATCCCTATGTGAAAAATGCAATAGAAATTTAACATGGTTTCACTGGATTTGGCTGTGTCTGGTATTGGTAAACCACTGGGCATTCAATATCATAGAATCATAGAGTGGTTTGTGTTGGAAGGGACCTTGAAGATTATCTAGTTCCAACTCCCCTGCCATGGAAGGGACACGGTCTGCTAGGTCAGGTTGCATGAAGCCCCATCCAACCCAGTCTTGAAAACTTCCAGAGATGGGGCATCCACAACTTCTCTGGGCAACCTGTTCCAGTGCCTCATCACCCTCACAGTAAAGAATTTTTTCTAAATATCTAATCTAAATGTTTCCTCTTTCAGTGTAAGTATCACAACTGATTCGGATATATTTAATTTTCAAAATATGCTGATCATTAAATCATGTAATCTTGGTCAGTATGTGGGATATAGGGTTTTTTCACCTTTTTTGATTGTTTCATGGACTTTGTTTGTGTGTTTGTTTTAACTGTTAATGCTGCATTAGTGTTCTAGCAGTTCTGTGGGTAGGATTTGTAAAGTTTGGAACAGTTGTTGATGCTGAGAATTTATACAGCAAGTGTGTCTAGTCCTTTTCCAAGTTTTTGGTTAAATCAGTCATGATGATCAGGTGAGTTGTACTGGCTGGTGTGGGCTCACTTGGTGGGTATTCTGGGCACTGCCATGTTTTAGGATTAACCCTGTGAGTCAGCACTGTGGCAGGAAAGAGGTAGTAAATGTATCCTCCACTTGCAATTCCAGATACCTTGGAGTTTCTTCCAATATGACCAGCAGTAAAATGGTTAAGAAAAATTAATTTAGCTAGGGTTTTGGGCCATTTACTTGTAGAAATAGGAAGATCCCACTTTGTTGGCTTGCATTTACCATTTTTTTCTCAAATTTTAAAGTGTCTGATGCTGCTACCAGAGAATCACTAGTACTGTTCTTATCACTCTCTAGTTTTGCACTTTGTGGCTTTGTGTTCAATAGTGCTTAATAGTGTGTTCCTGGCATTCAATTGCTGTTACACATGTAGTCCAGACCACTTGTGCTATTATAGTACTAATTTTAGCCCGTACAGTAACGTTTCAGATTCTTCCAAAAGAAAAGGAATTGATGTCCTGAATTTCTGTAATCTTTATAATACTCTTAAAGAAAGGTAGAATAATTATAAAAATACAGTATTGGATATTGGATATTATTATTTAATTAGAAGAAAAGATCAGGCAGAAGAATGTTGCAGAAATAATACTTATTTTTAGATGGAATAACTTGTTAATTCCAGCATCTGCACATACACAGTCATCAGGGAGTTATTGGGCTACACGTATTTTTTGAAACATCTGTCAACTAAGCCAGAAATCTAAATGCAAAGTGTTACATTGGTTGTATTTGTGGATTTCTTACATTTCCTAGTGGAATTTCATTTTGTATGCTAATCATTGCAGAGTATGGAGGTAAAAATAAGATTAAATTTGTGTGCATTTATCAGTTCTCTGGACAAATGACTTGCCCCGTTCTCCTTTAATTGTGTTACAGCATCAAATATAATCAAATATACGAGATTAAGTTGTATCATTTTTGTCTCAGGTATCCTGCTGTCAGTGTGGAAAGAAGTATGTCATGTACATGCTTTTTTTTTTCTTTTGTCCCAGTAAGGAAATAACAGGCCATGGATGGCCTTAAGGTACTCTGAACAGTTTCATGCCATGTTGCTGATTCCTACAGCAACGCTGCAAAACTCATTTCTTTGTTGTATACTAAGTAACCTACAGTCCATTTGACAAAATGCTTCACTGCATAGCTCTTAGGTGTATTGTACTGACTGTCCCTATTCAGTGTTACTGTGTTCAGTGTTACCTGGTATATACAAATTATTCATGGGAAGCTGACTTGTGGGCTATGTAAGTGCATGACTTTTAATGGTTACCTAAAACACAGCATTAGGGTATTTCTAAGGTATTGCTTTAGGCAGCTGTACCATTCCACGCTGTTGACCTAAATTTGTGATATTGGACATTTTTGATAAATACTGTCAAAGATAATCCATCACAGAACAAGTTTCCAGAGTTTTAGGATGTTTGTTAAACTCTTATAACTCAAATATAGAAGTGTTTCACAAAACAGTGTTTTACATTTGTAAGTTAAGTAACAGGTTTTCCAAGTAAGAAAATTGCTAGGGAGTCATTTCCAGAAGAATACAACTGTCTTCAGTTAGTGGACTGTGTGCTCCAGACGAGACTGTGATGCAGCTGCCTGTTGACTGAGGACCATATGTTTCTGTAGGTTGCATCATTAAATCCCTCTCACTTCAGATTTGGGGTGACCACCATTATATTGGAAAAACAAAAGGTGGAGTAAGCTTAGCAGTGCATATGGTGTTTAAAGATCTGTTTTACTTTCAAACTGAGCACAGTTTTTGAAATAATTTAGCCATTTAGACCTGTCTACTGATCTCTTATGACTCATGTCCTTTTCTCTCCTGTTCTTCAACAGCTCTGTGAAGTCAAAGAGAATTGCTTTGTGTGGTTTGATATAGCTAATAAGACAGTCGGAGTGCTGAGGACCTTGAAACAACCCAAGAACTGTAGCTTGGCTTAAAAATCTCTGGATAAATGATCTTGTTGATGGGGAAGCATTATGAAAGAAGCAAGTTCACTGGAGTGCATTACTTGACTAATGCTTAAAGCAGCTGTAGTTCATGCACGTGTTTCATATGGTTAAATATGGAGACAAACTGCGCACCCTTCTGTTTAACACTCAATGTAAACTGAATACATAACTAAGTCTCCTGCATGCCTCAGGCATTTCTGTGTGTGCTGCATTATCTCAGCTTCACTCGTACTTCTCTAGATTTAGGCTGAAAGAGTATCACATAACAGGGTGGTTTGTGGGACTGCAGCTTGGGTCTGCTGCTGAGCTGCAGGGTCTGCAACACCCCTGTAAGCTGCCTCTCGGAGGAAGGCCTCCATCTTCTTCATGTCATAGCCCATCACTTTGTAGATGTGGGTAAACAAGATGATACTCATGTTTAACAGTATCAAACAGCACAAAGACCTCAAAAAGAGGAAATGTGGACAAATTCACATGCCCATGGATTGACAGGATAATGGATGCATAGGGATGGATACTAGAATAAAATGACAGTGTGTTGTGAGATACTGGATCTAAGAGATGTAGTAGGCGAGGTGCTGGGATTTGGGTTTTGTTTGTTCTTGTGAATGGTAGCTCTTAGTGCTGCTGCTTAAGCTGAAGTGGTTGTTCACTTAAGATACAGCATTTTCAGGTTTTTTTTGGGGACTATTACTTTTTCTAGGTTGAGCAAGAACTTCCTCTCGACTGAAGAGTGTTGACACACAGTGGTCCTAAATATAGTGGGAAGTACTGTTTTCTGAGAGGGAATGGAGGCAGCTCTGGTGTATAAAACCACATATACAGTCTGGAAGTTACGTAAGGACACTTCTGTTTGCAGAGCAGAGGCTTGCTGCTACAATTAGGGCTGCTTTACACTCTTTACACTACAGCCATTGTAACCATTAAAGAATAGCATTGAAATATGATTTTTTTTTTCCCACTAATGTGTAAAGTTTTCAACTCACTGCTTCTCTTTTCCCTGTTTTCCTGAGAGTGATGATGGTTTTGTATGTGGCAGGACACAGAGAAATACAGATGGAGAATAGTTGCAGAAAATTTGGAACAACCTTTTTGGCAGCATTCTTGGAGTTTGGACAAGCATGAGATATTTGAACATATCCACTGGTGGACATGTTTGTGTGCAACTTGTTTTTTTCATTGCATCTGATAAAGGAATAAAACTTCAAGACAAAGTTTGTCCATCCTGTGTCTCTTACACAAGGATGATTCTCCACCATAATGCAAACTGCATGTGATGTTTGGAGATTACCTGTGAAAAGCATAATGAATAGATTTAGAAGTGATAACATTTATCCATTGTATGATTTCTTTTTTCCCTTCTGTCCCCCTCTAAGCATTCCTTTCACTCTTCCTCATCCATCCGATGAATCACTTTAATCCTCATCACTCACTGTTTGCCTGCTCTTCTACATTCCCTTCTCCAGTCTCCTCGTCCCCTTTCCTTTTTTTTCTTCCTACTCTGCTACCTTCTCTTCATTTTTGTCTCCTCTTTACTCATTTTTCAGTCTGGTTTTTTCAGTCTTCCACATCTGTACCTGCTCTAGTTTCTTCCTTCATTTTATGGCATTTTTTCTCTGTTTGATCTCACCTCTCATTTTCTCTGCTGATTGTTTGCCTCACACTCTCTGTCTGCTCAGCCTGTCTAGAGGACTGACTTGTTAAAAAGTTTAAAGAGAAAATGGCTTCACTCTGAATGGATCTTTATTTAATGATTGCCATGTGTTTTTTAATGAGATATTTTTGATATTATTTCAGGTCTTAAAAATTAGCTTGATTGGCCACCGGAAGCGCGTTCTGGCATCTTTGGGAGACAGGCTTCACGAAGATCCTCCTCAGAAACCACCTCGGTCAATAACCCTCAGGGTAGGTCCCCGTGAAAATTTGTTTGCATTTCTCAACAAGTCAGTAAGCATTTCATAACATTCACATGAAAACAATGGCTGCTTTCAGTGGGGTTCAATTTACATCACTTCAGAGGTGTACAGTAGGGACATCTTAGGCTGACCTGCTCAGTCACATCTCCCCATATAGCCAGCAGAGATAAACTGACATTTTTACAGGGTGATTCATCTGACCTGTTTCAGATGTCTGCCTTAGGATAAATAGTATCTTAGAAGTACCAGCTTATCTTTGCTCAGGAAACTAGCTCAGAACCAGGTGTGTACAAGCTGCACATCTACATTTGCCCTCAGGAATCCCTGCACAACCCAGCTGATCGATACTGCTGAAGGAGAGTTACCATTTTCCTTTGAAGGCTCGCACTTACTTTTCAGACATATGCTTTAGGCTGTCTTTAAGGAGAACCTCTTGAAATTGTTGATATAAATGCCATTAAGATGTTTCTGTATATCAAAAGTTTCATCATGTTTTTAATTTTCATTTGTATTCCCTCTTTCAGAAATGTTGTTGCGATGTCCCTGGGGTTTTTCCACACTTGACCACATTTAATCTCTTCTCATTACACCACCTTCACTCAGTTTCTCCAATCCAATGCCTTTGCTTACTTGCTGTCTGCTACTCTTATCAAGTTGTGGTCTGATGACCAATTCCTACTGCGTTCTCTCCAAGGGAGTTCATAGCAACACTTTTTATTTTGATATTTTAGGTCACACCTTTTGCATTTGATTGGATCTGATTATTTTTATGAGGCAGCATTTCTGACTGAAATCTCATTTAGGATTAAATTTAAAAATGTCAGAGTGTCAGTGCTCCCAAGTTAAATTTTCTGGTGTAAAGAAAAATACAGAAAGACAGAATGAGGGCTTATTTTCAAGTGCATTTAAAATTTCTGTGACCAGCCGATTTTCACCCTGCTTATTCTCAGATGCCCCTTACAGGCGTTTTAGATCCCACCCCTTAATTCAACCTATTCCTAATGCCATATTGAAAAAGGTCTGACAAGTCTATAATGTACTTTAAGGCACATTGCGCATACATGTAAATGTTTTTCTTGTACTTTATTTTCTATGTATTATGTGAATGATTCCTGATGCATGACAGGTGTTAAAACACTCCAAGGAAAGAGAATATATCGAAAGGCACACTTTTTTCTCAATGCCTTCAGTACTCTGAACTGGAGAATCTATTCCTCTTCAGCGGGTGGGAAAGTTTCCACGGCCCACATTCTTGGTCAGGACTGTATATTCTCAGTTAATTCTGAAGAGAAAACTGGATGTCCTCCATCTGTAGTCAAAGTGATAAAAAGTATCTGCTGCGCCACAGCTAGAGCTACTGATGCGGGCCAGTGCTAAATGTCATTTATCACCTCTTGGTACTAGAGACTTCACAGAGAATCCTAAAGAGGAGGACATGCATTTGGAATAAAGGGTTTTTTCCATCAACTGCTTCTATGCCATTTTACACAAAAGAAAGACATAGTGTTTAGTTTGTACTCTGCAATAATTTGTAGCTTGAAGACTGATTTAAATAAACTGTCTGCTGCTGCTAGAAGATTGATTTATTTAGAATCATAGAATGGTTTGGATTGGAAGGGATCTTAAAGATCATGTGGTTTCAACCCTCTTAACCATGGGCAGGGACACTTTCCACTAGATCAGGCTGCTCTAGATCAGTAGGAGAGGTAGTTTGTTATTTAGAGAGTCTACTTTTAAGGTCCCAAGCTCAACTTAAGCAATGCTAATGCTTCATCTTTTTTGACTGTTTTTGTATTAACCTTTAAAATATTTCAAAGGAAAAGGTTAAATATTGAGGAAAAGCAAAAAAGCATTAAAAATATCTACAAAATCTGTTATTCTCACAATAATTGTGTACTAAGGAAAAGTTATTTTGATTTAAAGTTATATATTCAGAAGTATAGTAATTGCTGGATCTCAGTTTACCTGTGTAATCTTGTTGTCCTTCTTCGAGTGCATCATAATCTTTAATTACAGAAGCAGTTTCCATATTATTCATGGAAGCCTGTCTGCACCCAGTCAGCACTGGAGGCTGGAATTTAAAGTGAAGGACCATCAATTTAGGCAGAAAATTTGGAAAAGTGTTATAATAGTAATGACAGTATAACACAAGAATTAATTCACCAGAGAGAATTCCAGTTTTTGGGAACTGGTTAGGCAAACATCTGTGGGACATGAGGTATTCCCAGGCAGCCTAAGGAAGGATCTCTTAAGCTCCCTTCCAGCCCTAACCTTTGTTTTTCCAGGTTTATATGACTGGCAGGACTGACAGGTGGGCATGAAACAGATTTTGAAAGTGAAATATATGGTCAGACATCCCTTCAGGTCATATATCCTTGCATTCACAGCCAAGTAGAAACATGGTATGAATACCTGGTGACTAACAGTATCATGGTACTGAGGCCATGGTAGCACCTGCAAGGGTGTCCATGCTTGGTCTGCAGGTTTGTTAAGGAGATGAGAAGGTGGGTATGGAGTGAGGATGAGGAATGAAGGAAGAATGGGAGAGAGGCTCATGATTAAAGGAATAGCTGTACCTATGAAAATACAGTTTTACATCTGCCACAAAAACCTTGGATAATGCTTGTTAAGTTATTTAGTTAATTGCCTCATAAACAGTCACTAATTGTATGTTACCAACATTCTGCATATTTGACTGGAGTCTGGTTTATGCTAGTGCTGAGCACACAGTACTACAAATTACATCAACAAAGCAGCGGATTTTGGAATACGAGCACTTGGAAAATCAGGAATAAATATTCTAATTGGTCATCCGAGGTGACTGATACTTTTTAAACTTTGTGTAGCTCATGTCACCCACACAGAAGTGGTGATTATAAAATGCCAGAAGTCACAGGGGCATGGTGAAAATTAATTGATTGACATTTATAAAGCAGTTATGAGCATCATGAATATGACAGTATTAATCATCCTATCTTTAGAGCAGGATGTGAATAGAGTTTAGGAAAGGGGTTATGGGCCATGAAACAAGGTGAGAATAAGATACTGACTACACAATAACTAATGATAACATGGTGCTGAGTATATGACAATATGCTGCACAGTTGAGGATCCATCTGTGCTGTGAAGGACGACTGTGAGAAAATAGCATAAAATCATATAATTACATACTGTTCCAGAATGCAAAGGCATGATAATTCTTGTATTTCTTGACTTGGTATTTCTTGTCTGCATTGCCTTGCCAGCAATCTTCCAATATAGATCTCAGAGTGAACTTCCTCTTTACATGCAATTTGATAAAATATGAAAAGCTCAATGAGAGCTGGAATCTACATGTTCATTGCATGGTCATCTGTCTCTTTGATGCACTGACAGCCCTATCAGTCTAATGATAGTGTGTGAATTGTGATTCAGAGCAGAGAGGGGTTACCTACCTATCTGAAGCAGCAGGTAGCAGTCAGTAAAGAGGATCTTGTTTGGTGCCCCTGTACTCAGGTTATTTTCGGGGCAGAGGTCTGTGCACCATTTGTCAGGCCCAGAGAGGGTAGGTTTTAGAGATTATGCTCCACCAAACCTGAGCATGTGCAGACTACAGCTTTTTAGAAGCTTGTAACTGGGCTGACTGTAGGTGGATTTTTGTGAAGGAGGGAAAAGACTATTCCTAAGAGGAAAACACTCTTTTCTTTGCCCTGGGAAATGTCAAGTGCTTGTCTCAAATCATAGGAAAGCTAGAGAATTTAAAAAAAAAAAATCCAAGGTAATTAAAAATTGCTTAACTATATTTCCCTATATTTTTTCTTGTTGGTTGACTAGAGCCAAAACAAAAAATACTCATCCATTACTGTGATTGCAAGGAATAATGTCACATAGACTCCTACACTTCAAATGTTAACATCAGGTGTTACTATGACTTGAGTCCCTTTCCTTTCCATTTGGAAGAGATTATTACTCTCTGATTTCTTACACCAGCTCTTGTTTCTTAACAGCATCGAATAAAGTATCTTCATGGTTTTCAGAACTGGGTTTGCTTCAACCCAATCATGCATGAATCATCCAATTTAATTCTCCCTTTAAATAAAAAGGCAGAACTTTTTACCCTCCATGCACACTGGTGCAGGTTTTTGCTTCCTCTAATATTTTCAGGTCCCTTCTTGTTGCTAAGTATTGAAATAGAGTATTACAGCAACAGGTGATTTAGAGAAAGTCTGCACTGTGCAAACATGCTCCTGGGTACATTCTGCCTCCAAAGAACTTACTATCAGAGAAATCTCTTGTGTCAGATAAATTGAGCCCAGTAACCTACATCACGAGAGGGGAACGTTTTCCCATTCGGTTGCTATGGCAGTGTTTTACTGCCCACACTGGGATGGTACAGATGCAGACTGTCTGGCCAGTAGGCTGTAGGTCTCTGCTCCTTCTGATGGACCTCCAAGGGTGTTGAACAGTAGAGCTGGGCACTGATGTTTGTAGTTGGTGTTTGAACAAGTGATGTGATGTGCATGAGAATAAGTGTTTCCAAACATTCGAATGGTGGCTACAAATGAGCGGTGTGGTAGCAGATTCTGGTAAAATGGATGATCAGGAGGACCCCTTTACCTATTTATTAGATAGAGTTTATGTATCAATTGAGTATGGTATTTGTACACTGACTGATACAAGGTTCATCACAGATAACAAGAAAAGGCCAGTAAAATATTTGTGCTCTGATGCTTTCATGTGTTCTAGGAATTGTTACTTAGCTTGTGTCTGATATCTGGTACTTCGAGTTCAAATGGATGTTCTGCAAAACCTATAAAAATTGCAACAAAGTATCTATACTGTGTAAATGAACATGCATTTCTTTTTTTCCAGCAAGAGATGTTGCTAGAGTTCAAATCACTTTCAAATCACTTTCACTGCTCAGAGTGGCTGCTCAGTAGTGAGAACGTATTTCATCTTACAAATAGCTAGTCCTAAATCATGGCTTTATTTGGGCCTTGACAAGAAGTAACTCACTGTTTTATCTCTCTAGCAGTCCTAGAAGGAAGTATATATAACACAAGGAGGTTTTGGAGAGGAAGATTGCCACTAGTTCGTGTAAATAGTGAATTATTTTTCCTTCCACATGTGCTCAGCACGTTAGGTAGCAAATCTCAAAAATTCATCCACAGTAACCTCTACTGCAGGAATTGTTCCTTATTTTTTTTAGTGTGAACCATTCAAATACACTTTTAAATGTGTGGTTTGAAGACAGTAATATGCTGTTCTTATGCTGCATTTTATTTCTCTGTCCAGGAACCCAGCGGTAACCACACTCCTCCTCAGTTGTCTCCATCACTTAGCCAAAGCACTTTCACTACTGGTGGCTCCCTGGACGTTCCCCACATTATCATGCAGGGCGATGCAAGGAGAAGAAGAAATGAAAACTATTTTGATGATATTCCCCGGTCAAAGCTGGAGAGGCAGATGGCACAGGTAGGACTAAAACAATGCTGTTAAAAGGCTGAGCCTTGCTGCATTTGGTTACAGAACTAACCCTGACCAGAGCAGTGGGTCCTATATGAAGTTTGAATTGTAAATGACAAAGGTTGACAATTTTTTCAAGCTGTCTGTTCCAGCTCTCTGTACTTCAAATAGTGTAAGTTGGCATGTTGGTGTATAATTTCTCCTGAGAGGTGGAGTTTTGGGGGGCTTTAGGTGCCTGGAGTCTGAGATGAAGGTGGCTTCTGAGCAGCAGAGCATACAGTCTTCCCCCTGCATTGACTCTGCCTCTTGTTCCTGTAAGAAGGTGCAGATTCCTCAACTTCTGAGCAGCCTAGATAAAAATAAGGTGATGTCAGTTCCCTGGCAGAAACTTAGAGGACTTGAGGGTGGTGATTGCTGCATTTATTAATGGAGAGGGTCAGCATTCTGCAAAACTGTGATCTGGAGATATATCTTGAGTGTTTAAAAAAGATTTAATGGTGCAAAAACTCATTTGAGCATCACAACAGCACTAGACTGAACTGGATGTTAAACTGTTCATGAAAGAAAGCCTAAAATAGTCTCCACCTCTAAATTTTTTTCATCCAATCTCTGAAAGAGTACTGATATTTTTAAATTAATGTATATATTGACCGGAGTGATACCTTAGAATCATGGAACCATTTAGGATGAAAAAGACCCTGAAGGTCATCAGCTCCAACCATTAACCTACCACTGCCATGTTCACCACTAAACCGTGTCCCCAAGGATCACACCTACATGTTTTTTTAACACCTCCAGGGATGATGATTCCACCACTCCCCTGCACAGCTCATTCCAATGCCTGCCACCATTTCAGTGAGGAAGTTTTTCCTAATATCCAATCTAAGGGGCAGAAAATTATGCATGGGCAGCCTGTTGGTGAAAATGCTTTAGAATGAACTCAGCTGGTTTCTGGTGGTACCTATGATGACAGACAGCCAGGTCTTAATTTGCAAGTTGGGAACAGGGCTTTGATTTGCTGTCAGAAGCAGATGGGCGGCCAGGGCAGCTCCTGGAGCGACTCACTCCATGAAGGAGCAGGTTGCTGCGTGCTGCCCTGCATGAGGCTTCCCAACAGTGGCTCTGCCTGCCACAGTCCAAAATAGAGCTTCTGTCCAAAATTCAAGCTCAAAATGGAAACAGCTATGCAAATAATTGTGTTATAATGAACAAAAGGCTGCAGTCTGTCAGCTAATTGCATGAACAAGAAGTAATTAAATAAACAAAGAAAACAAGGTGCTGCCATTACCTGGGAACACAGAAACAAATTGAATTCCATTTGTTCAGAGAACGTTTCTAGAGAGGTGAAATTGCATTTGTTTGGGTGGGCCTGTTGCCTTGTCTTTTCTTAATCTCCTAATTTTCTGCTATATAATTTTATTGTACAGAATTAAGGAGAAAGTTGCCGAGTGAATGAGCTTGTTTCCAAACCAAAGTCTGCTGGGCTTCTGTGGCAAGAACAAGGTTGAGCTGAAGTCCAGCAAAGAAAAGCCGAGTTCTTAACATGAAAATATTTCTTTGAATGTTATGAAATTTAGGTGTTTGAGCATAAAATGCATGCTTGCTCATGGCTGAGTAGACTGGTTCATCTACTTAGTTCATTTTGTTACTTCATTCACAAATCCCTATTCTCACTTCCTCTTTTAGTCACTAATATTGAAGACAAAAAAGTCAAACAAACCACAACAACACAAAGACCTCATGCTAACAATTCTTTCTGTCTCCATTTTACTCTTTTCTTTTACTGTTTGAGGTCCTGATATTACCAAGAGGTATGACATACTCTCATATATGATACCTGGAGATTTTCTCTGTGCTGTTAAATACTGCATTTTCAGAAGAACTGTGATATGTTGCATGTCCAAAGAGAAAATTGAGAAGTTATTATTTGCACCAGTCCAAATTGCTGTAAAACCAATCAAGTGCTGGGATTTGTTTTGTTTTTGGTTTTGGTCTGTTTTTTTTTTGGGGGGGGGGGGCGGGTTGGTTTTTTTTTTCTTTGTTTGTTTTTTTGTGAGACTGTGTACCCACTGAATTAAAGACGTCAGTGCCTTCTGTCTAACCTTAACCATGGAATATATCAGTCATCCTTTGGGACTCCAAAAGGGAAAATGGATTCAGATTAAATCCATAAAACAGTGGCTTGTGTTAGTCCCTGAACTCTAGTCTGTTTGAAGTCTTTCTCAGCTCTGCCCCCAAATTCTGCATTCCTGAAGTATGTAAAATTCCCTTTGACTTTAACGGGAAAGTCAATGACTCCCTCTGGTGATCATTCTCAATAAATTGGACTCACCCCATTAAGAGGCTAATCAGGGATTTCTTCAACCATTCAAGCCCAAAAATAGATTCTTAAATTTATTTTTTGCAATATGTACTTTGCTAAAATGAACTATATTTCCTTCAGTCTTTTCCCCCAAAGCCCCCTTGAAATTAAAAGGTAAAATAATTGTTTCTAGAAAGTACAAGAGATCCAGCTGATTCTTAACATGAGCCTTCTGCTCCGTGTGTTTGTTTATTTGTTTTATTTTGTTTTGGGTTTTTTTATCTAGCAACTTTCTCCTTGCAGTTTGCCAGTTCCTTTGGCTTGTGTCAGATCAACAACTTCTGAACTGATACGAGGCCTGCTTTCCAGCTAGAATACTTCTCACAAACACTGTGATCTAGAGGAATTATTGGAATTGCTTTGAGGATATTCTTTGTCTTAACCCTCTCTTTGCTAGGCTGTTTGCATGCTGCTGTGTGGATCTGCATGTTTACTGGATGCTATAGTACATAAACATGCATAAAGATGTCTTGTATGCTGTGATGCTGTGAATGTGGTTTTGATGTGTTCTTGGTGATGAGATTAGTGGCTGTTTTTATGGCCTCAAAGAGAGAGACCAACAGTGTTGAGACCTTATTCATTGTATAGCTTTCATGAACTTGATTTTATTTCAAAAATGTTAGAATAAAGCTATTTTTAGCCTCAATTTAAAATCTAAAATCTGAAGATATTTTGATGAAATGGTGAGATTGGATGTTTCCGTCTTTAGTATGACCTGTGTTTTCACTAAACCTTTACTAGGAGCCATCAAGCATGTTGATCTTTGCATCAATCAACCAGTGGTCGTTAAACAACGAGCACAGCAGTTTAAATCTGTTTTCCTTTGATCTGCTAGATGGGTTTAAAGAGTTCCCTAAACCATAATCAGATCTGATTGTAAGTAATACAACACTTTGTTTCCTGGAGGAAGCACTGATTTAAATTTACTTCATGTGGGTGGTTTTGTCTCAAGGCCAGCATTGTACCTTCATTTGCAGTTCCCTAGCAGACTGTTTGTGACCTAAGAGGGGAAAATCCTGATATAAACAATGAGTCTAACCAATTTAGATTCTCCACTGGAATAGATTTGGTCATCCAACCCTCCAGTTGGTCATCCAGCTTTGAAAGTCTTTGATATCTGGTTGTATAAATCACAACTGCCAAAATAGTAACACAGAAGATTGTGAGATGGCTTATTTTCCAAAAAAAAAAAAAAAAAAAAGGAGGAAAAAAATGCAGAAAGGAATGAGTAGTCTGAGTCATCATTGACTGTGGATGTTGAATTCTGAGCCTGCAAACTGTAGGTTAGTATGATCAAATTAATGTGATTTAAAATAGCTGAGGTTGTTCTTAAGATTGCCTAAACCTTTAAAATAGAAATTAAATCATACAGACCAATCCTGAGTTCTTTGGAACCAAAATCAATAGGAGGAGTTCCATTGAAGGAGTTGGACTCTTCATTCACCCCTGAAATGATTTGCAGGGAAGAACTTTGAGATTGAAAGGAATCATAGCTAAGTTCATTAAAATACACCAGTTAAAATGTCACATCCTTAGGATTTGCAATTCTCTAGGCAGCAGAGAAGCTTTAGGTACTAGCTGCAAGCATATTCCAGACTGCCAGCCCCAAGGCTGTGACTATTTATTCCGCCAGCCAGTGACATATGGTGCTTTTAGCCACCATGGTCCATAAGACCTCTTGCCATGATGTTCAGAGCACTGCACCCTGCCCCTAGCCAGGACCAAGGGTCAAAACCACCTTTCCTGTGGCAGACAGGCAGGGAGGTGTGGGAATCACCCTGCCCACACGGAAGATGAACTGGGACAGACATCACCGTGATGCTGATGCACACTGTCCCCATGGTGCTGAACCTGCAGTGCACCCCGAGAGGGAAGAGGTCTGTCATTTTGGGAGGCAGTGGGCAAGTGCCTCTAGGGTTCTGGGGAAAGCTTCAGCCAGTGTCTGCCTCTGAGTTGTGGCCCGTATGGGGAGCACCGCAGTGGGCTTTGATGGAAGGAAGAGATCTTTTAAGGTCTCAGGGGGTTGGAAAAATTGTTCACAGGCAGGAGAAGTTCTTTCACAGAGATGCTGAACTCAGACTTATTTTGAAAGCGTTTCTTGATTCTTCGGTCCCATGGTCTGAGGGCTCTTTTTATTTTTCCCCCCTTTTTTTTTTCTTAAAACACAAGATAGCTTGTGTAATGTCACTGTAATGACTGCATAGTAAGTTTAAGTTTGAAGTAAAGCTATCCTGATTGTTGGGATTCTGCATTTAACGTTATTTTGTAAGATATAATAATTCTTTGCCGGGTTAGGATTGATATACAGGGAACAATCATTTAAATGGATTTAGTACAATAGATCCTCTATCTACAGTAGAGGAAAAGTGTAGTAAAAACAAAGGACAGAATTAGTAAGAGCAGATTTATATTAAAATTTTGAAATAATGTTGCTTCTTTCTGAAGTAATACCTTCAGCTCAATAATATCTTCCAAATACTTCACAGATACTAATGCATTTGTATTTCCAGTGCACTGTGGGACTGTGTGGTTTAAAATCATGTTTTCCATTTTACAGCTAAGAAAACTGAGATATAGCGATGTTTCAGGTTGAGTAAGGTGACACAGAAAGTTTGAAGGAGCTGAAAATAAAGAACTCACCTTTAGT